ACTCGGAACATAAAGGCTTAACTCGATAAATTGTCGCACGTGCTCCCTCAGTGGGCCTTCACGCCTAAGACACCTTTGTTTTGATCGTGCCTTGTTATCGGCATGATGAGGGTAAAATTATTCTTTGAAATCAGTTTGAAACGCTGCCCAGGTACTAATGATGGTGCCGTCTCATTTCATCTCTACGTACTTACATCGCCACCATAAGATTGCTAAATCCGTTAAGTAAATAGAAGTAATTTTACCTTTTCAGTATCATTCTCGATGCCCATGGCTCAGAAGTATTGATATATGTCCCACATAAAATTTTCCACATCTTTGGTTGATTTGGTACCTTTAAACTTTTCAGGTTTAGGGACGTCGACCCAACCTTTAGGGGGCGCTGGTCAGCATGTTGCCAGCCACGACAGGCTTGCACAAGGCCACCTCGATCTTGAGTTGCTCGATCCCTTCTTCAGGTTTTTGACTTCGGTCCCATAACCCTTACTCTTAAGTTATTTGACTTCTTTTCTTAGAGCTAGGATTTGGGATTCAACAACATCTTTTTATTAAGAACTCTTCAAATCGAATCTATTGAGTGTCGCTTGCACATCTTCCTGGATGTTCTCTAAGGCTTCAAGCTTCTCGAGATCTAGTGATCTCAGCTTCTCAAGATCGATGGATTGTAATAGATCCAAAACCTCATTGGTCTCTCTCACAGAGTCCTCAAGTATGGTGTTCTTACCTTGGAGCGATGCGAACATGTCTTTCGACGTTCCTCGCTTATTCTATGCGTTGCGAGTCTCGATGCCCTCGGATGCTGATGCCTCGCCACATTGTGAAGCCATCTCGTCTAGTCATGAATCTGGCTCTGATACCACTTGACATAGGGCTAGACTGTTGGCTAGCTGGTCCGTGTTGCCTTTAGTCGCTTTGCTTGGTTGCTGGGCACTAATTCAGCCTTGAAACCTAAGTTTTGTTGCTTAACTTGTTGCGAAAGTAAGAACAAAGTGAGTATGAACGGAAATAAGAGATGTAAGAGAGTATTTGGCTTGAAAGCCGAGTTAGTCTTATTTCTAAGAGAAAGAATGAATGAATACAATGGGGGTGGGGAGGCCCCTTTTATAACGAGAATCCTCTAAGAGATAATGACTAAGTATTTATACTCTAACTAAAAGTATATCCTTACTTTAGATAAAAGTCTAAAGGTTGAATCATACTTAAACAATGATGGTGGCTTTGTCCCTTTTCTTTGAGAGGGCATGGTTTTCATTGGGAGAGGGCCCGATTCACGGTGTGCTCGGCCTTATCCAATTCTGGTGCGGGCTTGGTGCATCCCTTGGTGCATTTTGGGGCAAACTTAGCGCGCCGCCTGATACGTCTGGGCTTGGGAGTGCTTCGGTGCGCGCGGATGTGTGCTGGTGGATGTTGGACTCACCGTCATGGTCTGTGACAATGTCATCAAGAACAAGAGGGAATGAAATAATGGTGAAATATACAAATAAATGAAAAATGGAGGAGCAGTGAAGAAAGCAAGTGGAGATGGTGTTTGGATTTTTGCATCCAACTTTGAAACAAAAATGGAAGTATGGGAGCCACACATAACCAGCCACGTACACATGCATTTGTTCAATTGAGTTCTATCGAGATTCTTGAGTGGTGACCGGTGATTGAAAGGAGATAATAAATATATTAAATTAAAATGTACAAATAATCTTAACGTAGTTTTAAATAATATTTTTATTAAATTTTAAAAATTATAAAACAACGATTAATTTTTATTTTATTATAAAATTAACTTCTAATTGTTAATTTTTTAAAAAATATTAAAAAAATAGTTGTGATCTATTAAATTGATAAATAATAATTAAGTTATATTTTTAAAAATCTATTAAATAATCTCAGTAATTAAAAGAAATATTATTATTTTTAAAGATTTTAAGTTGAATGTTTATAAAATATGTATATATATTCTTAATTATTGAAAAAAAAATTAAACTAATATTATAATTGTTCCAAGTTAATAAAAAGAATTACAACTTTCTCCAGCAGATATATAAGCTTGAACTCCTTGTAGTGTATACTTCAATTTCTTTGAACTCCTTCTGCTACTGTTAAGACAGATTCAATATAAGGTGTGTGTGTGTGTATATATATATATATACACGTGTGTGTGTGAAATAAGTCTTATTTCAATTGACAATAAAATCTGACCGTCGAGACATACAATACTCATAGTTTTCTAGCATTTATGTCAGGTCGGAATTATAATTTTATTATAATCTGATTAAAATACTTTTTATTTTTATATATCCAGTCTTTTTAATAGTTTGATAAAAAAATTATTAATTTTTTAAAAATATATTTTAAATATTAATTAATATTTTAAAAAATAATTGGTGGGATCAAAACTCCCCTTAACCTCGTGAAGTTTCACCCTATCCATGCGAATATGTAAATAACCCAGTTAGCATTTACGTTTATGAATTATTTCAATTCAGATTATAATTATTTTCATGCCATATAAAAAAATTTAAGATAAAACATAATTTTATTATTTTGAAAAATTATGAGTTTGAACAGCTGCGTTTATAAGATGTATAATTATCAAGTGGTTAAAAAGTCCTAAATAGATGTTATTTTATGATTACCTTAAATTAATTTTAAAAATAAATTATAATTTCTTTTATATATTTTTAAAAATTTTGAATTTTTTAGTTTTAAAATTATGTTTTATTAAATTGAAAATTTTAATAAGATTTTTACATTACTGTAGTAGGTTATGTCATTTTTTTATGGAAGGTTATGTCATTCTTTAATAACAATCAAATAACAAAATTATTCTCATTTAATGTTAATTTTATAACTTTTAAAATCGTAATAGCTGGAAATGAGTTTAGTTTAATTGAATGAATACTTTTGCCTAATATTAGGATGGAAAACTGGTACAATTTCGTAGATTCCGCACCGTATCCTCTCCAATTGGGGCGGGGATAACTTAAGTGGATAATAAACGGGTGTGGATTTAGAAAGTGATACCCGTCCGGGTAGTGCGCGGGTGATGGGTTTGAGACCTTACCTGCCCCACATCCGCCTGTCCACTAAATACCCATTAAATTTTGGACTATTATGAATTTATGTATAATTTTAGGGTTTGTCATTTATGTGTGTCAAAGAATAAAAATATTATATGTTTGTCATTTATGTTTCTAGACTTTAATTATATATTTTATTATGGTGTTTATGTACTTTAAGATCTATGTTAACACTTAACTCAGATAATACTTTGTTTATTTTATTATGTACATTCTTAATGGATGTATTTGTTTTATGTTTGTTGCTTATGTATAACTTAAGGTTGCTTTCAGGCGGGTCTAGTCGGGTACGTTTCAAGTTAAGTAGTGGTGTGAGGATGGAGTTGAGAATGTACCCGCGTGAGTCGGTGTGGATTTGAAAAATTTTACTCATCATAAGTAGTGGGCAGGAGGTGGATTTAAAAATATTAGGTGGGTATGGGGATGGGGGAGGGGTACCCACACCCGACCCGCCCTTTTGCCTTCCCTACCTAATATATAACGGTGATTAAAAAGGTTTTTTTAATCTAGACAATTATCGTATAATTTGAATGTTTTTTTATTAATCTAAATTAAACATGAAATAATATATTTAAATTTTTTAATATTTAACACTTATATATTATATATATAATATTTGAATTCAAAACTTTAAAAAATATCAATGATTCCTTAAAAGCAATTATCTTATGAATTGAATGTTAAATTTGATTGAAAGTGTAAAATGTGACAATGGGGACAATACTTGCCACGTTGCATAAGGCGTGCATATTAATCAATTTAAGTCATCCTGAGTAGTAATATATTTATGAGTAAAATGTAAATTTGGTAACTAAAATTTATATTTTCTCCCATTGTATTTTTAATTTTTTAAAATTTTCACTAAATTTAATATATTAGATATTTTTGTCACTAATTCGTTTCTTCACTAACGGTATTATGAAGAGGCTCTTTATTTAATTTTTAATGGGTAAATTACAAATTTAATCACTGAACTTTACTTTTTCTCTTTTTTCACTAACTATATTTTTAATTATTTTCAATTTAAATCTAAACTTTATGTATTATATTTTTTGGTCACTTTTCTGTTAACAAAAGAAAAGCCATGTCATAACGGTGTTAGTGGGAAAACGACTGAGTGACAAAAAAATCCAATGTATTAATTTCAGTGAAAAAATTAAAAAGATCTAAAGTAAAATGAGCGGAATAAGATAGAGAGTAAAATTCAGTTACCAAATTTATAATTTACCCTATATATATTTTATCAAGAATGAATCGTCTCCGTGGAATTTTTATATCATCATATATTCTAAATATATTTTTATTTTCTCTTGACTATTTTTACACACTAAAAATTTATAAGTTTATCTCCTCTAAATTTTTAAAATTTTTCTAAACATATATTTGCTTATTACTTAAATATATTAAATTATATGTTGTGAAAATTATTATTTATTATAGATTTTGCAGATAATTTGATTAAAAAAATAATAATTAAGAAATAAAATATTAAAATAATATAAATGATATCAATAGACTTATATATATATATATGCGCGCGCGTTCATGTGTTATAAAAAATATATAAAAAAGAAATTGATTAATAATTAGATATAAAAAGACGAAGAACGCAAAAGCAAATTAAAAAGAGAAAATATAAGATATTGAAGTGCATATTCTAGAAAATAGGAAAGAAGTGAGAAGGTGAAAATGGAAATGCGTGTACATGTCAAAACATAGGAAAAGCAAGCATAAAACAAAACAAAAAAAAAAAAAAAAGGAAAGGAAGATACCAAACCCTTCCCCACCAATTACACCCAGTCTTATACCTTTCCTTCATCTTCACCTTTGCCCTTTTCCATTCACAATTTGCAGAAACCCAACTCACAAGAAGAATAATAAAAAACCCCTTGGGATGCTGCTGCCATCCATCCACCCCCAAAGCCAATGCCCACAAATCCAAAATTCTCATCCGGTCGTGAACGCCCGACGCCCCTCTGGCTCTGGTGCGCCGCCATCGTCTGCACCGTCATCACTTTAGCCGTAATCATCGCAGGCATCGTCACCTTCATAGGCTACTTAGTCATACATCCCAGGGTGCCCTACGTTAGCGTCGTAGGCGCTCACCTCGATCCCTTGCGGATCGATTACGCAGGCATTCTGCAAATTCAGGCCACCATAGTGGTTCGAGCTCAGAACGGGAACAAGATGGCGCACGTCAGCTTCTCGCATTCCAATTACACGCTCAGCTTGAACGGGGAAGATATAGCCCGGTTGGTAGCGCCGCCGTTTGAAGTGAGTAAGAATAGTTCGGTTGATTTTAATTATTTGGTTCAGTCATCGCCCATACCTTTGGATCCAGAACAAGCAGAGAATGTGGATATGGCGTTGAAGCGTGATTATATTACGTTGGATCTGAAAGGGAGCGCCAGGGCGAGATGGAGAATGGGCCGGCTTGGATCGGTTCGGTTTTTGTGTCATCTCGATTGCCACTTGCATTTCCATCCTTTTAATGGAACCTACATTCCTTCACGCTGTACTTCCAATGCCAAATAATTGCTTTTATTTTTTGCTCATTTACGTATGCTATAATCAATTAGTTTTCTTTTTTTCCTTTTTCTTGTACAAGTCAATTTGTGTTAACTAATAATGTGGTAGCTCTAGGCAAAGTTGATTTGTACTTTTATTCCTTCAAAGATTTTTTATATTCTTAGGAATTAAGTAAAGATGTTGCAATAGTTGTAAGGGTAAATTACACTTTTAGTATCTAAATTATTATTTTTATTTTATTTTAGCACCTAAACTTTATCTTTTAAAAAATCATGCTTAATATCAAATGTATAGTTTAGTTATAAAAGGAGTTCAAATGGTTGAAGTAAAGAGTTGAGACGCAAATTTAGGACTTATGAGCTTGTTACTCGTCTTTCTTTGTTATCACCTTCTTTCATATGTCCATGCTTGTGAATATATATAAAATTATTACATTTATATAAAATTCAAATTGAATTTGGATTGTAATCTTTTATTAATTCATTTTAGAATTTCCATCTAAATCTTGTCATATAACTACAGCCGCTATAAAAAATCATTTTACTTTGGGATTAATTATTATAATTTTAATAATATCCATATTCGTTAAATTATGTATTGATTTTATAAAACAAATGTTATATTGATGTCACAATTAATTTTTGAACAGCGGATAACTAAAATATAATATTAAATGTATTTTTTGAAAACATAATAATTGAATAATTAAATAATAAACTAAATAATAAAAAGGTCATCAAATAAGTAGTTTACAATAATAAATAATAAATAATAATAACGTGATTTTGATGGACCGAAAACTTTGACAATTACGACAACATAAACTAAAGTATTTTTAAAAGTTGTAGAATTTTATTTTATATTATGTTGGTTTTTAAGAAAAATATTTTAAGTTTTACGATATGAAATAAGGTTTCTTTCCCCTTCTTTTAATATGTACTAATTTTCAAGAAAATGATAGTTTTTAAAATTGTATATCTAATATTTTTATTATTTTGTTTTTGTATGTTTTTAATGTAAAGTAATATTATTTTGTTAAGTATTTCAATATTAGTTTACATTCATTGAATACGGTGCCTCGAAAGGTCTAAAATAAAGAGGTTTTGAAAAAACATATATAAAAAGGGAAATGCCTATCGAGAAATGGCTGTCCATGGATTGAAGGGGGAGTAGAATAATCAAGAAAATTATGTTTATCAATGTTTTATAGGTAAACTTTTCAAATCACCACTTAATTTTTAGGGTATTATTAATTTAACACGAAAAAATTTGTAATTAACTAAATTTTTAGAGTATTATCAATTTAGTCATTATTATTTTAAAAAAATTATCTATCACTATTATGAGATTCAAATTCAGTACTTTAAGAAACTTAGCTATATAAGTCTATATGATTTGTTTTATGATTTTCAAAATATTGATCAACGTAATCGAATTCTAAATTATATATCTAGTGATTGCAAGTCATCTTTATGTATTCAGTCAATGCAGCGATTTTTTTTTTTTTGCTAAACTCATTGAAAAATGACTGTGTATAGATAGTGATACGTTATTAGAAATATGTGTTAAATGATGTTAAGTTGTTGAACCTATTTTGATATAACAATTTAAGGATAAAATATTTTGAAATTAATTGAGTTTGTTCAAATTTTTCAAAAATAATTCAAAGTCCTTAAAAACGTGAATTTGAACACAAAATCGTTTTTCTGGGTAAGTAATATCGATATTGTGCTTACAGTATTGATACCACATGAACAGTATCGATATTATTTTCAAGGTATCAATACCATAGTTAAAAGAAGTATCGATATTCTATTGATAGTATCAACACTACCTGTTGTTTTCGAAGTGTCCAAATTCCAATAAGCAAAATTGGTAACGATACTCTAGCATTATTGATAACTCCATAAAATACCATGTTTTAAGGTATTTTACTTAAGTTATTGATTGTCTAATAGTCATTTTAATAGCATGTAGAATAATTTAGTTGCACTTAAGTCATGTAGTTGCATGTGGTGGAAAAATCTTGCTGCAACATAAATTTATTGATTAAACTGTTGTTGCTAAGGAGAAGGTCTTGTTGTAGTGATGTGCATCAAAGGGAGTAGGTGACGAGAAAACTTTCGCTGTAGCATTCTAGAGCAAAGGACAAAAAGTTTTGTTGCGGCAAAACTTTGCAACAATTACTAGGAGCAGAAAGGGACAACAAAGATGATGTCACGCTGTCAGCTGTCTAAGGCTCACGTGAATGCTTTGCCATGGTGATAATTCTTGGACCACATGCCAGTTGCCTCATATTCATGTGTAGGGCATGAAACCTAGGACACAGAGGAAATTTTAAGGGCACAAAACTATAGAAATTACATACTATAAATACTTAAGGATACCCTACAATTAAAGGGGCTTTTGGAGGATTTATTTTGAGCTTTTAGGAGAGAGGCGACAACACCATTTCCATCTTCTTCTTCCTTTCTCCATTTTTTTCGTGGTGTCCTCCATAGCCGAGCTTCAAGGGGGTAGCGGCTAGGCCCTTGAGAGGCTAGATTGCTGGAGCGGTTCACTGATGTGGCTCTAGGCTTCACGGCCGTAACCCTTCGGGAGTTTTCTTATCCTTGTGCTTTATGGTTTTTTTACTTTAAATGGGTTTGTACTTAAAGATGATTATGGATAAACTTAGCCTCTCCATGAACTAATTTATTTGGCGTTGGGTTTGTTATGGATGATATTTATTTTATCTTAATGGATGATTAAATATTTTCATGTTTATATGTTGTTTGCTAATTGTGTGTTTGTTAAAATACTTAGTCTTTTAAGAGCTTTTGAGAGATAGCTATTTTCTAATTATAGATACCTAATATCGAGAGAGTTATGTTAGATCTATGTAAGCAAGGGAGCTAAATCGGGATGGTTAGGTCTAATTCATCTTAGAGATAAGGAGAGTTTTCAAACGATTAAAAGGGATAAGACTTAATCGATAGGCTACTGCTGCAGTTCACGCTGAGAGGTATTGCCATAGCAATAATTTTATTACGTTCCTTACTAGAGATAGCTTAGGATAGCAAATCTTGTTGGGCAGCATAGGCATAAAGTACTTAGATTATTCCAGACATAAAATAAATTATTTCCATAGCAAATCCATCCAATTACCCCTATAGAAGCTTGTTTGTGTGAGGTTGTCAAGTCTTATTCCAGAGCTCAGATTTATCTTACCTCAGCACATATTTTCTTGTTTAATTCAACATTCATTAAAAATCTTGCTACATCATAAATTTCCTATTACGTCCACACTTCACAAAAATTCCTGCCACCACATTACTTTTCACTTGTTCATACCATTTTTTCCATAGCTATAATTTCTTTCATTGTTTATATCATTACACATAGTTATGCCTAGTGACACCCTTTTTACTAACATCTTTTAAATTCCCTCAAATCCTTGTGGAGACGATACTCACTCACTACTGTATTACTTGATCGACTGTGTATACTTGCATACATTTTTTTGTTCAACTTATAACACTCTCAACACACATAAAGTTTTTGGTGCCATTATCGGGAATTGGCAATTGGTGATTTTAAAAGTTACGCTATAGAAATGTTTTTCTTTCCTTATTTTGTATATCTTTACTTGTTATTTTATTTAGCTTATCTTTTAAGGTTTCATTGGTGTATGACCCGAGGGCAACCGAAGGACCATTATTACCTATAGAACCTAAGATTGAGTAGTTTTTCAGATAGAATAGACGTGCTCAACTTATTCAAGAAAATATGTATACAATTTTAAACGAAGGAGGTGACCAAGTGAAGGATCCTGAAGATCCAAATGTCGCACCAAACCCCAATGCGAGGATTGCCACACACCCATGTGCTATTCGAGATCACCTTGCTCCTATCTTGGATGATCTAAATCCTGGTATAGTGGCACCTGAGATCCAGGCAGCCTACTTTGAACTAAAACTTGTGATGTTCAATATGTTGAACTCTATTGGGTAATTTGGTGGTGCACCTCACGAGGATGTCAAGCAACATATCCGTTCATTCTTGGAGGTATTCGATTCATTTATACAGCAAGGAGTTCACGAAAATGTTCTAAAGCTAAAGTTACTTCCCTATTCACTACGTGATCGGGCAAGAGCTTGGCTAAGTGGAGTTTCATCTGGCTCGATAGATTCATGGTTTGATATGTGTAAAAGCTTTTTGCTGCTGTATAATCTGCCTAATATGAACACTCAACTCTATAATGACATAGCATCTTTTCGTCAAGCTGATGACTAGTCAATGTTGAGTGTTGGGACTGATACAAAGGATTTCTATGAAAGTACACCAACCATGGATTCCACGACTAGACCCAAGCTGTGATGTTATACAATGGTGTTAATTATCATACTCAGATGATGTTGGATGCCTCGACAAACGGAATTTTGTTGGACAAGTCACCTGAAGAAGCCTTTGATGTTCTCGACTTGATAGTAAGCAATGATTATCAGTTTATATCTTCAAGGCTAGGAACAGGGTGAAGGGATCAAATGACCTTTGATTTGGATGCCAAGGACTCTGTGTCAGCTCAATTGTCTGCCATCACCAATATGTTGAAAAATCTTCGACGTCCTAGCAAAGTAAGGGAGGTAAAGGTGGCCAATTCTGCATGTATTTTATGTCGTAGCAGTCATCATGTGACTGAATGTCTTGACAACTAGGAAGCAACCAATTATGTGAGGAATTTTAATAAAAGTAACAACAACCCTTACTCAAATACATATAAACCTGGTTGGCGACGACATCTAAACTTCTCGTGGGGAAATCAAAGGAATAACAGTGCCAACAACTCCACTCGGTAGCAGAACATGAACAACCCCAGTCTTCCAACAAAATCTATCATGGAAAAACTCTAACATGGGGCAACATCTTCACCAACCAACAACTCATTGGAAGCCTCCTTGTAAGATTTCATGGAAACCACTAAGGACTTTATGGCTTCAACAAAGACCTTGTTGCAAGATCACTCT